CTGCATATTCTAGACTCGGTTTTGCAAACTAATGAAAACAACAAAAGCATAGTAACAAACAGATGTGTCCCAGATAACAGTAATATGCCCAAATGTGATCTGGCTCCTTTAAAAGTCTTAGATTTGTATTTCTGAATAGTCTTCATTTCTTATATTGCCATAATATTTGACATATTCCTCCCCCTCCTAGAGAGCCATCCCATATGACAAATAGTATTTTTGGGGAGAGGAAAAAAGCACATGTTAAAAATGTCCCAAAATGTACAATGAATAAACCTCCATGAAGGTGAGGTATGTTGACGGTGCCTTTTTAAATTTCTTTGTTTAAGTACCACTTCATCTTTATCATTTTGTTGTATTTACTTTGATCTAATGGCTATGAGTCACATGTAAATTTATTGTTTATATATCTTGGAGACCAAAACCTTATCAGAAATTGGAAATCCCTCCCCCCCATTCGACCACTTTTCTGCTTATCCTAGATGCATTAATATTGTCTGTACAGAATCTTTTCGGTTTCAAGTTCTCTCTTCTGCTGTAAACATAGTATTATGTTCCTTCAGTTACTTTAATCTTCTTTTAAGGTGGCCCTGTTCTCACTGGCTTTCTTCCCCTTACCTCTGATCCCCTCTTCTCATTGGATAGTCCCCCTTCTTTTACTACCCAAAAGTTGGTCCTGTTCTTTTTGTGTGTGCCCCCTTTCCCTTTTCTCTCACTCACTCTCTATCTTCTCTTTCTGTTCACTGTAGTTCCTCGTTCCTTGACCCTTAGATCTGTCTAGTCTTTTTCTTTTTCTCTGTATTTTTCTTGCAGTCATAGCTTCCGAGGTATCCATTCTGGCCTTTCCCCTCTTCCTTTTCTGCCTCTGACCCAAAGATTTCCCTTTTCCATTATGCTTCACTTAAAAAACAATGCTATTTATGGGAGGTGTCACAGGAACCCTCCCCCCCCAACTGTGTCCTTGATTATGCAGCCCACCACTGATCTATGCTATCTCTTGTTGACATTTTTGTCTGGAAATCTCCCTGTTTCTATGCTCTCCCACTCCTCCAGGTGCCAGTTGCTCCCAGGGTTCCGACTCTGACCACCTCTCTTCACTTATAGGAGCATTCATCAGTGGAAACTTCCCCCCACCCCCCATATCACCCACTCCCTTGTAGGCTTTTCTGCCACTACAGAGGTCACTTTCTCCTTACTGCTACCTCCTGACTTGACTTCAGCACATCACTCCTATCCCCCTGCTCCTCTCTTCCTTTCATGTACTTTTCCCTTGTAGGCAGACTGTGGCCATTTTCTATCCAAAGTATCCCCTGTCTGCCTCTTCACTGTTACCTCTACCAGATTTTTGCCTTCACCCCGTCTCCTCGTCTCCTTGTGTACATTTAGAAAAAAGTCTCTAATTGGTCTCTCTCTGGTCACTCTGCTGCTATTATTGTCCTTGCCTGCTATATTTATTCACTCCTTTTGCATTTTTGTTATTTGGGGTGTTTAAGAGGCAAATAATCTCTTCAGTTCCGGTTTTCTTTACAAAAATGTTTCAGACTATTTTTGAATGTCCATCTTTTGTCCTGTGTGGTTAAGCTCAGAATTGCATGATAGGTCTGAGAGCTGTACACTGAGCCTTTTTGTTTGCTCTTTGGAACACATTCCATTCCTTCCTTTTTCTAATAGATGCAATAGTCCTATGTTATTCAAATGTTTATTCTTTTATAGTTGAAGATCCCCTGACATCCTGTAGAACTTGTTTCCAAATTAAATTGTTAAATTTAACCCGCTGTGTATCTTTTTTTGGGGGGGTGGGAGGCGCTCTGTGAATTCTTTTCAGTTGGAATTTCATTTTCGATGTTCAGAAGTTCTGGGTAGTTCTCTTCTATTTCCTTCATTATAGCGTTAAGGTGTTTTGTCCGGTGGTGTTCTTCTGGGAGAACCATGATCCTTAGATTTTCCCTGTGTATGCTGTCTCCGAGTTAGACGTGTTTTGCTTGCATAGTGAGCATATTTTCATTTAATGCTATTGTTTTTTGCTTCTATTATCCTAGGTTGTCCTTCTGTCTTCTTATTTCTTTGAGACTTTTGCCATCAAATTCAAAGTCGTCTTTTTTGTTTATTATTTTTACTGTGCAGGACGTAAATTCTTATAATTCTCATTTCGCTTAAATCACTCAGGAATAGCAGGCTGTAGTTCTATATTCTCCTCAAATTCTAAAAGATCCTTTGTCTCCTCAAGTGTTAGATCATTTTCCTTTATTTTGCAGTATTTATTCTTGGATGCCTTAGATTTTTCTTTTTTTAATTAAATTTATTTATTTTTAGTTTTCAACATTCACTTCCATACGATTTCAAATTTTCTTCCCATCTGCCCCTGCCTTTTCACTTCGAGGGCATGCAATTTGATGTAGGCCCTATATATACATTCATATTAGACCTATTTTCACATTAGTTATGTTCTAAAGAACAATTAAAACCAATGAGAGGAACCACAAGAAAAAAGAAACCAAAAAAAGAAAAAGAGCAAATATGGTTCGATCAGCATTCAGACTCCATAGTTCTTTTTCTGGATGTGGATAGCATTTTCCATTATGAGTCTTTTGGAGTTGTCTTAGATCCTTGCATTGGTAAGAATAAAAAGTCTGTTGAAGTTAGTCATCACACAATGTGGCTGTTACTGTGTGCAATGTTCTTCTAGTTCTGCTCACTTCACTCAGCTTCAGTTCGTGTAAGTCTTTCCAGGTTTTTCTGAAGTCTACCTGCTCATCATTTCTTTCTCTTTTTTTTTTTTGGTAGGCAATGGGGTTAAGTGACTTGCCCAAGGTCACATAGCTAGTGTCAAGTGTCTGAGGCTGGATTTGAACTCAGGTCCTCCTGACTCCAGGGCCAGTGCTCTATCCACTACGCCACCTAGCTGCCCCTCATCATTTCAGTATTATTCCATTACATTCATATACCACAACTAGTTCATCCATTCCCCAGCTGATGGTCATCCCCTGAATTTCCAATTCTTTGCTACTACAAAAATATATCTTTTCCTTTGACCATTTATCTGTGGTTACTATTTTTCTTGTTGATTTATCTGTTTATATTCAAGGTCATTGAGTTTTCATTTTCACAAAATCTTTGGTACTTTGAATCATTTTCTCCCTTATTTTCCTTATCACTCATTTCCTGACTCCCTCTCATCTCTGGTTTCCTTGGGGACTGAATTCTTAGAATGTTCCAGGCTCCTCCCACAGTGACCAGTTCATTATTCATCCACCTAGGTCTATGCCCCAAATGACTTTTGAGGGGTTAGAACTGGTCCCAAACTGGATGCTGCATTTTCCCCCTCAGGCTTGGTGGAATGCTAAATTGCTATACCATGGGCCTTCCCCCTCCCTCAACCCTTCCCTCACCCCTCATCTCCTCACCCCCATTTCCCTGGCATTGCTGCAGCACTGGTGCTTCTGGGTTGCAGCTCTTGGTAGGCTTTTGCTCCTGAGGGGCTATGGCCAGGCTGACTGTCAAGACTGTAGTGTGATGGCACTGGAAAGAGGGTGGAGGTTGGTTTTGATGTAAACCTGTGTGGGGTCCTTGGGCCTGTTAGTGTGGCCTCAGTGACCATAATGTGGGAGGTGGGGAAGGGGTACTGAGTAATCTTAGGGTCAGTGAGGATCACTTTTTGTCTTTTAAACCTTCTGTGTTCTGGGTGGAGACAGTGGAAATTGATTTCTGTTTTGAAGAGGTTTGAGAAGTTGTGGGGAATTTAGGTAAATGTTTAATCCTTTATCTTGTTGCTCACATAACCCAGTAGTCAAAATGTTATCTCATTCTTATTCTTACAGCAGACCGGAGAGGTAGGTACTGTAATTATCCCCATTTTACAGCTGAGGAAACTGTGGCAGAGGTGAAGTAACTTGCACAGCTATTAAGTGTTTGAGGCTGAATCTGAACTCAGGTTTTCCTGACTCTAGGCCCAGCATCAACCACTAACCACTTGTCACCAGCTGCCTAATAGACCAGCTGTCTGAATAGTTAGTGGGATATTTGAACATTTTTTTTCCTATTTAAAAATATGTCTTTGTTATCTGTGCTAATAGTTAATCTTTACATGAGTTGTTCCAAAAGGTACATTAATTTAATTTTGGAGAACAAGTTGCTTGAAAGGTTTCTTTTTCTTAAAAATGTTTCTTATGCTGAACTTAAACACTTAAAAAAGGCATTTCCACATGCACAGCAGAACGTTTGAAAACTATCCTGTTCGTTACTTTGTCCTTAATTTCTTCTGTTCTGCAAGTATTACAGTAGCACCCTTTTTTACATCACTGTTTCTCCTCCTCTTTGCCCCTCATTAACAGAGGGAAAGAAAGGGGGGGAAAAAACCCCTTGTAATAAATAGGCGTAGTCTAGCTAAATGTGGTCCACTTGCTGGCCATGTCCAAAAATCCATATCTTTGTACATATTGCCCATCGCCTTTCTGTCATCTGGTGGATAACATCCTAGGTCTTCTGGAGACAAGTAGATTCATGTTGCTTTGCTGTGATTCATTATGAGCTTTGCTCTTTTGATGCTCCTTCCCTCCCCCCTCTTCAACTTTAAAAAGTTTTTTATCCATGAACAGAAATGGAAGGGGTGGGGTTGGTGGAAGGGTAGTTCATTCCAGGCATGGAGCCTCGAATAAGATACAAAAGGCTTCCATGACAAGTTTTTCTTAGCTTAACTTCCTATTGTACCAGTTCTGCTCTTCCCTGCAGTGGGCTTACTTTATGACTAGACCTTAAGTATGTGGAGAATTTAAGAGAATTTTTTGCTGTGAAATAGGGAGGACGAGGATGATATGGAGGACAAGGTATTGATCAGAGAATACTGACTGCCTTTGGTATTGTGGGCTGGTACCTCTTTCTTAGAAAAGGGCAAAAGGGCTGAGGTTTGCGTTCAAATAAATACTGATCTCTTCCTGATGAAGTGTGCCTTTGAAGAGAATTGAATTTAACCATGTGTGTCTTTTTTTTCCCTTCCCCCACAGCTGCCTTGCCCTTGATTGTTCTAAACTTGGCCAAAATAAAGCCATATCAGAGAGGCTTTTTCTGTAGTGACAACAGCATCAAGTATCCGTACCATGACAGTACCGTCCCATCCCCTCTCCTCTACGCAGTGGGGTTCACTCTGCCTATTTCTTCTGTAAGTAACTAACTCTCTAGGTAGTGGTGGGGATGATGATGTGGTGGTGGAGGAGGTATGGAATTGGGATGGGGTCTAAGTCCATAGCTGAGCAATTGGTTGAGGAGAATACCCACTCTCACAATTTAGTTTGTCAACTGGGAGCCAGTTAAGGATTTATAGAATGTTAGAACTAGAAAGGGGGCCTTCAAGTTCATCTCATCCGAAAAGGAATGGAGAGGTCTGATAAATAGAGACATACTCAAGATAACACAGGTAGTGGCAGAGCCAAGAGACTAGAATTTTTTTTTTGACGTGTGTGTGTGTTTTTTGTGAAGCTAATATTTTATTAATGTTTCAATAAACTTACATAATGGAAACATGTAAATGAAAAAAAAATTTACACTGATCTCATGACCACCAAGCCATTACAATAATTTACTAAAAATAATTGGCAACAGAATGACTCAGTAAAATAACTTAATCCAGCAGTATAATGAAAACATGGTCAATGGAACTGAATATGAATATATCTCTCTATATGTTCACACAAGCAGGGAGCAAGGCACATTATGAAATAAGAGCATACATTTATGCATAAGACAAGACAAAAAGTATTAAATTTAAATACATCCTTATTGAATTGTGCATATTCTTTTGTATATTGGGTACTTTATAATGCAGTTCCTTTTGTACTCTCTCCCATGTTTAAAGTATATTTATACACACACACACACACACACATTTATATTTATATCTGGCAAAGCTCTCCCGGGCTGTAGAGTTTCTGAGAGCCTCCTTCTCCTTCCCCTGAATATGGGTTAAGGAGTTGTGGTGAGGGAGAAGTAAGAAATGGGGGAGGTAATTCCATTTAAAGATAAAAGGTGCAATTTCTTATAGGTAAACCTGAATGTGTTTACATTTAGTACATGCTTTTGCACAGACTAATAACTTGTAATGTGCATCTCTGTACAGAATTCCATTAATGGCTATTAACAAAATGAAGCTGCAAAACCATGGGAAATATTTGACTTATTGCTTGTTTCTAAGGATTTTTTAAGAAATAATTTTGATGTAATTATTAAACATATATATTAAAAAGAAAAAAACCCCAGCAATATAACCCCCTTGAGCCAGAGTTATGCTCAAACCAGATTAAAATGTAATTGGAAAGTATTTAGCAAAATAATAAAAATACAGTAGAACAAAAATAATGTTAATAAGTGGTTTTCTAAGTCTCTGTGCTTCTATTTGCTTTTTGACATCTGTCCTAAAAACCCTTACAGCTGTCTAGGATTGAGAAGAAAGTACTTTTAATTTGAGGAATGCATATAACACCACAGTCTGTTCAGTGGAGAGAATGTAAACAGACCCATTGTCCCCCCAGGCCTCACCAGTCCAGTTTGCAGGATGGTCTGACCTTTGATCACCTTAAGTAACTGGAACTTGTCGTCCTTTTAATGAAGGATCCGACACCCTATTCCTGAACTTAAGTCATTGAAGATTGAACAAAGAATCACTGTCCTCTTTTTTTGTTGCCTGTTCTGAGATTTAGAGCTGAAAATAACCTTTGAGATCATCTAGTCCACCTGTCTCATTTTGCAGGTGAAGGAACTTGCCCTACAAAGAGGGAGAAATTACTTGCCAACGTTACAGAGATAGAAACAGCTAGCATTCAAGCCCACATCTTCTTACTCCACATCCCCGATAATTCTGTGACACCTGTCTGTTTTGCTGCTGGGATAGAGGAGAAGAACCTGCTTGCCTGATGAGGGGCCTCTCAGGCCTTGTCAGGGTGTAGGGTCGACCTTCCCCCAGTATTGATCTCCTCCTGGCATTTCACTCTTTCTTCATTGCAGCAGCTCAGTATTACATTCAGATGGATGTGTGATCTTGTTGATTAGATGGTGCAGGTTATAGCTCATCCAAGCCAGCCCATTCTGTGCAACTCTTGCCCAGAGGCCTTGGAGGGTCAGGATTAGGGCTGCTAATACAGACATTAACTATCCTTTCAATATAAGGATGAAAATTAAATACTTGCCTGTTTCATAGCATACTCTAGTTTGAGTTCTCTCTCTTCTGTCTCTCTGGTCACTCAGAGCCTTCTAAATAAGATCCCCCTGATATCGATAATATATTGCCTGAAGTGTATATAGTCCTTAGTCCGTTGTGACATTTAAAATGTCTAAAAAAAAGATTTTATGAATATGTTATCTACAGACTGTTATTGAAGAAGGTATTTTCGTTTGATGTATTTTAATTTAGTCTCATAAATGAAAATTATCTCTGTAATGTGGATGCTTTTGCATAAAGTATTGTACTAACGTTATCTTAATGCTAAAGGAGAAGGTAAATATGTAGGAGATAGACAGGAACTTTTAGTTTCCCAGGGGGTGGTCACAGTATCTTATTCATAGCCACAATGAAAGGCCAGGTGATGAGATTATAGCCTCAGGTGAAAGCCAGAGATTTGGCCATATGGGAAAGTCTAGGGTTTTTCCTTTCTGGGGTCCAGATCCCAACCCCATCATTCTCCCCTCAAACAAATGGTACCCAAATTCTTTTAGGGTAGGGGATGAAGGTCTTGACTTCTGAAATTGCTTCCTGCTAGTAAGGGGCATAAAGCTGTTCTTGCCTCAGGGGGTCCCAAAGAGGTTGACAGGAACTTGTTTTAATGAAACTGAAGATGTCTCTATTTAATTTCAGTTGTTTGTCAGGTCAAAACAGTAAGATCTCACACACTTGCATTGATCTTTTATTGACCACTTGCTCAGATTATAGAAATTTGCTATAAAAGAATAAAGCAGGCACTAGATTTAGGGCCCAGATATGACAGGATAAAACATCCTTAGCTCTATTTGGATTCAGATAATTCAGTTTTCCAACCATGTAATATCAAATCCCCCTCATAGCCAGGTGGGTAACATTCCTTATCAAAGGAACATAATGGGGAAACTGAGCCAGGAGGATCCCATCTTAGAGTGAGGCTGAAATTGTCTTCTTAGCTTTTCCTGATGCTGACTTCCCACCAATATCACATTCCTTCTGAGTAGCTTGTGCCATTTCTCTCAGATGGTGGATTATTGATTATTGATGGATTATTATAATCCATCAGACAAAATAAAATCCCTTGAGCTTTTACCTCAAACAGCAAGTTTCACTAATCACAGCTTAGGAAAAACTTTTCCAGGATTTACATCTCAAATTTAAATTTGTCCTGGTGTAAAGCCAGTGGTTAGAGATTATTTCTATATACTTGCAAATTCTTAGCAAGCCAAATAAGGTTTTTGGCTTTACACATTAAAACAATCAACAATAGCCAAATTGTTTTAGCGGCAACCAAATTATGAAACGTTGCTTGACGTAGATTGTTAAATGCATTTCCAAATTACTTTACACAGAGAATCAACATCTCATAAAAGAGGGTGCTTACCCAAGGGAGGCTAGCTTCCTTACCTTAAGCAGGATGTGGTGGACCTGGGTGATGCTTCCAGGCAAAGGTGGCCCCAGGGCCCAAGGCCATTGCAGGGAGTGAATGGGGGTGGGTGGGAAGGGTGAAACTCTTCTCCTATGAGAGGTATTAACCGACCCTCTTGACTCAAGGGAAGGGAGTTTGAGAAGGGAGTGACCAGGGTTGTAAGGAGGTGTTTCTTATATTATATTAGAGCTATGAATGAAATTGGTTTAAGTACTTTGATGTCATTTAAAAGCAGATTTATATAGAAGGAAAAGTCATTCAGTGATGAAATATATTGCTAATAATCAAAATTGTAACTCATTTAGTTTCACATGAGCTGTTTTCACTGAATTCTGCTGTGGTTTTCCCTTTTGCTATGGTTTTTTCAACTGACTCATTGGAAAAACATCTGCTCATGAAATCAACTGCTTAAAAAGAGTCTTTAGTGTTAAACAAGTGATTAGTATTAGGGCATGTTATAGAATGCCTCTGATGAGGTTAACTAGTTACACCCTATGGCAAATGGGGCATGCCTCGCTGGAAACCAGATGATTTGGTTGTCTCATTTGCTAAATTCTGCCTCCGTAAATTAGTGGCCTTTATTTGCTGTTTCTTCTGTTGCTTTTCCTTAACAACATTGAAGGGTTTGAAATATAGCCTTCTTTTGTGCTCTTTGAGTAAAAAGTGCATCAGGTGTGGACAAAAAAAAAAGACAACCTTTTCATGTTTATTAGCACTTTATTATTTGTAAAATAATTTGTAAAATTCTTTCCTCACGCAACTTCAGTATTTTAAGTGGTAGTGTTCCCATGTTATAGCTGAGGCTCAGTATATGTAACCTCTAGGGTTACACTAGTAAGTGTCAGAGTTGAGACTCATCTGTCTTCTGACTTCAACCAGTACTTTTTCTACTATATCATATTGCCTCCTATCCAGTAAACTAATAAGTTTAGCATGTTAATTGTCTCTACCAAAAAATGTATCCCTTTCCTATTTCCTATTCCCACAGAACTTTTGAGACAGTTCCTGAATATTTTGGTTCTGTAACATTCTTTCTCTGTCATGGACAAATGGTGAATTTGGTCACTGCCCTACATTTGACCTTAAGAATTTTCCATCGTCAGTTGACTTAAAAGTGAAGATGAGGTGGGAGAGTATCTTTCTCCTCTCCTTAATGGTATTTTGAAAAGAGTGGAGGGAGCTGTATGTATTCAAGAAATCTTCCCACAGTGTTGCTCTTCTTGAAGAAGAGCTTTGCTACCAATAACATGATTGAAGTGTCCTGCCAAAATGATGAAGCTTCTTGCTGTATAAAATCACTGAAAATTATTATAACATGAGTATTTACTTGGACAAGTGAGTATCAGCATAATTAACTCCATGGAATGGTATTACTTGACTAAGTGGAGCAAGCATATAATTGCTCAGTCTTCCATAGACTTATTTTGATTGTCATTTTGTCTTTCCAGAGAAAAGGGAGGGCAGAATTGGGGAAGGAGGAGCAGGAGAAGAAGGGTTAATCAAAATTTTAGGAATTACCTTTTAATTCACAAGTAATTTGATG